CTAGCTACTTTTCTAAAGCTGCTATTGGGCCGCCTTGCCACTATTCACCTTCCCTCGCATGTTGCTGGTCTTTAAAAATCTATATAAACTATAAATGACAAGTATAGTCATAAAAAAATAAATGATTTTTTTATGACAATAATGACTTGTCATATGACAAGTGTCATTTATTTTTAAATGACAATGTGCCATTACTGCTCTCTAGTGTAACCATAATGTTTGTAGTATGAGGATTGTCCCTGAACACTAGGCAGGTCCTCTTTTAGAAATAATATTTTGGTTTGTTATTTCTTTGTTTAGAAGATGAAGCTTGTGGTTCTTCGTTTTCAGAATGTTCTTCTTCAGAGTTTTCTTCTTCTTTGTAATGGTTCACTTTCTTTTTGTAATTGTTTCCCCTTGGTCTCTCTTTTTGATATCTTTGTTTTGGTTTATAATCATTTTCTTCTTCCTGTTTGTTGGTAGTTCTCATGTTGTTTACTCGTTTGTTATTATTGAATCTTCCAATTTGCATTTTATTGGATCTTTGTCCGTTGTAATATTTTCCATTCATTTTTGGACATGATTTGGTATGTCTTTTGTTTGTTAATCCACAGTATCTGCATGGTGGGTATTGTGGTTTGAATGATTTGTTCATTCTTGGAAAGTTTCCTTTGAATCTAAATTTTGATTGTCTTGGTTTTCCCTTATAATTGTTATTATTTCTGAAGTTATTTTTTCGTTGTGGTTGGAATTTATTGAATGATTCCCTTTTTGCTTGTCTACAATATTTGGCATAGTGTCATATTGTTTACAGTTATAACATTGTGTTCCTGATAAATCTCTTTTTGGTCGTCCTTTATTGTTGGTTGTATTATTACTGAATGATACATTTCTAATTTTTCTAAAGTTATTTACTTTAGATAATGGTCCCTTTTTGATATATTCGAGTTGCCTTTCTGCTTGGAATAAGTCTTCTATCATATTAAATAATTCTGTCCTATTAGTTGGTTTTGGTCTTGCTTTCATTATTTCCCTTTTATATTCTGTAGGGAACATATTGATTAAATGTATGTATTCTGCATTTTGAAATGTTGGTCCAAATGCATAGTTTGCAGTTTGCATTGCCATTTCCCATTTATTTCTGAATTTCATAAATGAGTTTTCTTTAGAGTAGTCTGGTATAAATTTCATTTGTAGGAAAGTTAATTGATTTTCTATTCTAATATCATCTGTTAAAAATGCATTATCAAAGATTTCTCTGAATGATATTTGTGGTGAGGTATTGGTTAATCCTCCAGTTCCCAATGCTGTTCCATGCCAATTTGCTTGGGTATAGTCAGTGTTTACTGCTATTGGATAGTTGGTCACATCTTTTAGTCCTTGTACATCATTTGCTCTTACTTTAAAGTAACAGTTTATTGTTGGATTGGTTTGTAATAATGTTAAGGCTGGTCCTGATAATTTCTTGAAGATGGCTGCTTTTATTCTCCTAAAAAATTCTATGTTAAAGTGTGCTGTTGATAGTGCTAAAGTTGTTCCATTTCTATCTGCATCTGGTGCGACTCTGGTATATCCCGTTTGTTCATTTCCTGAATATCTTCCAAATACTGTTAAGGTTCCTTCTATATTCATCATAGTGAATATATTTTCTAGTGCGTTTCTCCATTCTATATAGTTTCTTGATTCTCCTGAGAATGTTGGTAAGTCTACTAAATATTTTAGGTTTGGCCACTTTAGTTCTGTTCCCATTTTATCTTAGTTTTGCCACTTGTATTAAGTATTCAATAGTTTGTTTTGGTCGTCCTAATGCTGTTATTGCTGTTTCGTATTTTGATTTGTTGTTTGTTTCTAGGCTATATATTATTAGTGCTGCTATTTCTTCTTCTGAAATAGTTATTAATCGGTTTATTTCTTGTGTTTGTGGAATATTTATTTCTTTTTCCACGTATCCCGATTGTGAGTTTGGTAATGGATCTTTTTCAAATATAGTTATTGTGTTTTGTGTAGTGATTGTTACTAGTTCGTGTTGTCCTCTATTTAATAATTTTTGATATAATTGGTCTCTTCTCCTTTCAATTATTATTATATCTTGCGATGAGAATCCTAATTTACTTTTTAGTTTTTTGGTAAAGAATGCTTGGAATGCGTTAAAGATTGTTTCGTTTCCCACTACCTCGTTGAATCCCATTTATGTAGGTGTAGTTTATTCTTTGTTCCCTTATTGCTTTTCCAATATGAGTTAGTAATTCTGTTTGGTTTAATTATATTGCTAGATTTTGTAATCTAAATAGGTTTGTTGGTTGAATTGTTTTATTAAGTAGTTGTGCTTTCCAAGTGTTAAATAGATGTATTTGTATAGCAGTTGCTTTTTTAGTAGGAGTTTTCTTTTCCACTAATGTGTGGGTTTTTTCTTTAATTATTACTTGTTGGTTTGTTTTTGGTTCTTCAAGTAATTTTGTAACTATTCCTTTATATAGTTCTTTGGTAATATAAGGATTGTTGTTCATGAGAGGTTATTAATGGTTGCTTGTACTTCTCTTGTTAACTCTTGGTTTTTGATTTCTTGATCGTGTTTGAGTAATTGTAATCTTTTATTCTTTACACAGAATATAATTATTGCTGATACTATTGCTATTATTGCTATTAATGCTGCTTCTCCTCCTAGTAGGCTAGTTACGTTTGTATCTTGTATGAATGGTGTAGTGGTAGGTATAATAGTTGGTGTTATTGTTATTATTGATACTATTGTTTGTACAAGAGTTGTTGGTGTTATTGTTGGAGTTGGTATAGATATTTGAATTACTGTTGCCATTCAATGATATCTGGTTCCAAATTGTTGGTTGATTGAATCTAAGTTTGGAAAGGTTTGTTTTAGTGCTTGTTCTTGTATTAGGTTCTGTAAAGATAATATGTCTCTTTGAAATTGTTTCAGTTGTTTATTCTTTCTTTTTCTTTGTTTTTCTGCACAGATAATTAATGTGATTATTACTCCCAATATTATAATGGTTAAGGTAAGTATTCCTCCAATTATTTCTGATTGGATTTGGTTCATTTATTTCTTTTTAAAGAATGGTTTTAATTTGATTGGTGGTTTAGGTAAATCTTTCTTTGGTACTGGTGGTTTTATGTTGAATAACCCGTTTATATATCTTGTGAATTGTGGGTCTTGATTATATAATGGTATTGGTTGGTTAAGTCTTGGTTGGATATTATATCGTAGGTTTACTTCTGATTGTGTTAATTTTGGTATAGAGTATGGTGGTTGTAGTAAAGGATTTTTCTTGTGTTTTCTGAACATATATTAATAGCAGCAGTTTTCTCGGTTTGCTTCAAGGTATTGTCTTACTCCTGGTATGGTCTTGTTCACACTCTTTTTATATCTTTGTAGTGTGCAGCAGCAGGTACAGATGATTACTATTTTTAGTAATATTAATATTATGATTGTGTATATCAGCTGGGTTACAATTGGATTGTTATCTTGTGTTGTACAATTATTTGTTGTGTTTGTACTCATGTATTAGTCAAGTGTTTTGGATTTGTTTTGATTCTCAGATTTTTATTCTTGGAATGGGTTACTTCTTGGGTAGCTTGGTGGTTGTTGTAAGGCGTTGTTTAGATTTGTAATTCTTTGTTTATTTCTTTTGATTTTCTTTTGTAACAGCAGATTGTTCCAGTTAAGGAAGTTACAGCTCCGATAAGGATTACAAATATGGTAATTAATTCATTTACAGCTTGGACGTTTTAAAAGAATTTTGGTTGCACAGTTGAGACATGGTTTCTTTTTCTTTAATTGTGGTTGGTATGACCATTGGTATTATAGTTGGAGATGGTACAGGTATCGTTATGTCAAGTGCTTGGCAGATTATGCTCATTATGACAAGTACTGATAAGATTGTTAGGTGATATCGCATTCGACTTTCAAAGTACTAATCACTGGTGGTTTCGATATAGATCGCTCTTTGGTTGATCAGTTCCTAGAGTTAGATCGTCAAAGTTTCGTTTTCTTTTTTCGATGCCTTTTCAGCTTCGATTAGTCATCGAGGTCAGTAGGTTTATTTCGAATAAACTTTAGATTAGTATCCCTTTTGTTCAGGTTAAGAGTTGATTAAACTCTCTTTGTTGGTTGAATGTGATTAATTTATTCATGGATATTTAAGTTTTTGGTTATCAAGAATTTCTTTTGACGCTATTGGTTTTGTCAAAAAGATTCGTTAAGTCCTCCTTGCTCTTATTAGTTTTGTAGTCAAGGGTGGATAAGTTCCTTGAGGTGTTATGTTAGAATTTAATCAGTTTCAGCGGAAATGTTTTCTTCCCTTAAGGGAATTTTTTGGGTGATTTATTAATTTGTTAAATAATTTATTAAAGTATAGTGTATTAGAGTTACTTGCTCGTTCAAGTGTTGTCAAGTATCGTTTATGCACAGTCACTTGCAACCTTTATTAG